GCTCCGCCCGGGAACCAATCAGAAGGGAGTCCTTTATTCCCGCGCTTGTATTTCCCGCGCTAGTATTCAACACCTTGCAGGTCTTCTAATCCAATCCCCTGCTCAGGCAGGAAACCGTATACCATTTCAGGCAAATGATTGTCCAACCTCTTCTTAAAAAGAGATTTTTAAAAAAACTCTTAAAAGTTAAGCAGTTCTTTTTTCCTGTTCGTCATTATCTTTTTGCCATTTTCTCCCATTAATGGACCAAAAATTTCCTTGACTTTTTTCTTGTTTTTTACATGTTGAAAGAAGCTTTTTTGTTGTTGCTTTTTTGTTGTTTTTTGCTGATATTCTGTCTTATGTGGCCCTCTTTCCACTTTTTATACTTGTCCTTTTTATCTTTCAATTTATCAGAGAGTTAATTCAATTTGAAGGAAGGAAGGAAGGAAGGAAGGAAGGAAGGATTTGGAAGTTTATTTTTAAATGGAGGGTAGAAGGAGTGGTAGAAACAAGATTTATTTGCTCAGTATCTCCATGCTACTAGACCAAAATGAAAGTAGCAAAATATCTGTACCATTTCATGAAAAAATAGATGTATGCCAAAGTACAACCACTTTTAAACATTTGTTTGTCAATGTACCCTCTGATTCAAAAAAATACAAAAAACTAAAAGAGAACAGAAATTCCAAAATGATTGTTGTCAAATTTCATACAGAATTATTAGCATATAGAATTACAGAAATGAGCAGAGAAACTTTATTTCCAAAGACTGCACCTATTTTTTTTAAAAAATGAATAAGAATGCTTACATTTTGTCTTAATTCTATTAGAAAGAATCTAAATTTTGTAAAATGTAAACTATTACAGATCTATCTACATTTGCTCTTGTTTTAGAGATTTCAGTAGGGATTTTTCCATATACATTAAACCTAATTTTACAACTGGCAAGTTTAAAAGCTTGTTATTCTTAAAATAAAAGGCAAAGTTAAATTCTATATCAAACATATTTTTGCATTTTTTCCTAATCTGTCACATAATTGCAACACACACAGACACCTATTTATTACATAACTTAATCATATGTCTCTTCTTTCCTATTTCAATTGTTTTTGTCAAGTAAGATAAATCTTACAATAGTCTTTAAAAACTCACAGTAACTAATTCATAACAAAATGCTATGATCAAGACAGGGAGAAAAGAAATAGCAATACTCAAAAACCATGTGCCTATTATTGTTGACATAGCCTTCAAAATAATTCATACACTTCTGTGAGCAGGTAAAATCCGACACCTAATTTCAAGTCCTAATCTCTGAGTTTTTTTGTTTTGCAAAAATTGCTGGTACTAGGAGACTGGGCTGAAGGCTATGGACATTTTAAGTATGTACCATTTATAGGAGACAACAGATGCAAGCACCTTTATTACTGAAGAAAGTCTTCTAAATATATGCAAATGACCCTCAATATTGATGTATAATATGCATATTGCATAGTGTGAAGGGGAAATATACTATCAAAAAAGCAACATTTCTGCTTTAGCAAAACATAAATCAAGGTGTATATATAAACCAACTAACTTTTTCTACATTCACACAGTGCTACCCTAAACTAAAGTGCAGTGAGCCTTTTATGATCATTCAGTAAGTGAGCATGAGAAATTATTTTTAAAATAAATTGGAGAAAATGTTCTGAGAAATTTTCATTGTATTTTCTGCTTCATTATGGTAGTCTACAAGGTGGTTCAGAGCTTAACACAAGTCTTGCTTTTTTAAAACATGAAAAACAAAATTGAATGTTATTCTTAGTGAATTGTGAGGTTTTTCCCATAACTTCCTACTAGGCATTTCCTGGAGTAGCTTAGAAACAAGGTGATGTGATGTGATACCAGATCATGTTGACTGCTACTTTGTGGAACATCTAACTAGCAGAAAGCTGCTGAAAGAACTGAACACATTTTTATTTTTTTCAATATATACGTCTACCTCTTTGGACAATAAAATTCATCCCATTACCCCTGCAAATGCAAGAAAATTCCATGGCACTTCCAAAAAGGGAATTGGGGGGGGGGAGGTAGTTTTTTGAGAAATATCAGTAAGGGTTTCGGCTTAGCACTACTTGCTACCTACCCGGACAGCTTCAGCCTTTTTATGAAACATCTCTTCCATATTCTTGGCTAGTTTCTTCACAAGTTGAAGGCCATCGATTTCTTCAATGGTAACCTCCTTTTCATATTCCTTGTATTTCTGCAAGACAAAAGGAATGCATTAAGAGAAGTATCAAAACATTGTTTTCATGTATATGTTACAGATACTTCTGCAATAGCAATTTTCATGAAAGAATAAATTAATTGTTTTGGTAAAGGTGAAGGTTCCCCTGGCACATATGTACTAGTTGTTCCTGACTCTAGGGGGCGGTGCTCATCTCCATTTCAAAGCTGAAGAGCCAGCACTGTCCAAAGATGTCTCCATTGTCATGTGGCCCATATGGCTAAATGCCAAAGGGGCACGGAACGCTGTTACCTTCCCATCAAAGGTGGTCCCTATTTTTCTACTTGCATTGTTTACATGCTTTCGAATTGTTAGGTTGGCAGAAGCTGGGACAAGTAACAGGAGCTCACTCCATTACGTGGCGCTAGGGATTCAAACTGCTGACCTTTCTGATCGATAAGCTCAGTGTCTTAGCCACTGAGCCACCATGTCCCATATTTAAGAAATTTTGTTCATTCCTGAAACGTTTGAGCTACTTATATGTGGTTGAATGAAAGCAAAAATAATTTCATTGTTAGTGTGAATTTACATATTTACTTGTGATTAGTCCTATCTATAGACCCATTTGCCACTTTCATGCTTTTAAAGATTTGCAAAAAAACATTTCATGTTCAGAATGACCTGTCTCAAAATGGAAATGCCTCATTTCACATGTGAAGCAGGCTGTCTTGATCAATTCGGAAGATTCTCAAGCTCAAAATAGCCAATTTCACACTTCAGACAGCTGTTTGGAACCCAAACAGGGCTTTTCAAACTCAAGTGCCTTTGAATTCAAAACATTTTGTGTATAACTCCTTCATTCAAAATGGAGTTGTTTGAAATCCCTGATCTTGAAGATGTAAAGTACAGTCCACTTTCTGATTAATGAGATCATGTTTTGACCTTCACTTATGATCCTGTTCCTGGTTCATTTGTACAGCTATAGGACTTTAATTGTGCTAATTTCTTAGCATGAAATAGAATAAGGGCTTCCAACTTTCATAAATGGATTTGTTCCTCTTTTGTTCAATCTTATCTCTATCTTTTTCTGGAGACTATTGTGACTTCTTATTCTTTGTGTTTGACTTATCCCCATTTTCTTTTTGGGCTATTTTATTTTAGAGTTAAGCATTTGTAAGGGTTTTGCTTTTGACTGCCCTTATGGTTACTCACCAAAAGATACAAGAGTTAAGCTACATAGGTCTTGTTACTGATACCTACAAATTCTTGCAATGCAGGCTAATATCCAAGGCATATCCAAGCCAATACCCAAGGCATAGACCAAGCCAGATTGGTCTAGTGGTTAAGGCACCAGGCTAGAAAGCAAGAAACTGTGAGTTCAAGTCCTGCTTAGACATAAATACTAGCTGAGTGACCTTGGGTCAGTCATTCTCTCTCAGCCCAGCTAACCTCACAGGGTGGTTGTTGTGGAAAAATAGGAAAAGGAAAGATGTTGGATATACTCACCACCTTGAATTATTTGTAAAAATAATAAAGAGAATATGAGTAATCAATTAAATAAATGTCCTAGATATGCTGAAATTCTGCTCTGACACATGTTGTTATGGATATCAACATACATCTAATGCATACTTCCTATGCTGGGGCTAATACCTACTTCCTATGCTGGGGCTTTGGACTGAAGTGCACAGCTGATAGGCAGTTAATAGGAAAACTGGTTTTAAAAGCATCTGCAGAATGCTTTAAAACGTTTTTATATACAAAAATTCCAAAGAAAAGTTTTAACTATAGCAAAGATAATCAAATACAAGGATTAGGACCTTATAATAGTCTTCAGTGAGGCCTGCAACTGGCCATCCTAACAAATAGGATCAATTGTTAAAGGATGAACAGTGATTTCATTACCAATGCTCCTTTATAAAGGAACCCTAGTTGCATGCCTCAGTGACTAACTCTATTCCTATTGTTCATCATAATTGTCCATGCAATAAAGAATGTAAGAATTTCCAATTTTGTTGTCAGTTACGGTTTATGGCTAGTAAAAAAGATAAATCTCACAAACAAATTAGGATGGCGTGTGAGAATATTCTGAATAGAAAAAAGGAGATTATATAACAAATGGTTGAAAAGATTTCAATAGTTAACATGTTGGATGGTAAACTACTGGCATCAGATGGTAAAGAGAAAAATTACCAGTAACACTTCCGGCAAATCTCTCAGTAAAAAAAAATGCAAACCAAAAAAATGTGGCCCAAGGCTCCTGTTGCAAAAAGGAATTTAGCTTTTCTCTATAAGTGGAAGTTCTCTGAGGCAGAGGATCAATGCCATTGCCAAAAATAGTGTGTGGTTTGCATGCAGATGGACTCGGCTATCTGGGCACACAATGCTCAGCTGCTGTTCAGGAGCATCCATTGTTTCATTCACATTTCAGTTGACTGTCACATTTAATGAGTCATTTTGTCCAGCTTTACTAAGAGGATTATGCCATTATTTAAATAGCAGAGAAGAAGATGAATATGGCTTATTTTTATTACTAAACAATTAGCCTTTTCATAATTGTAAATTATATTTAGAAGCTTATCAACAGACGAATACAGCTCAGAGGAATTCACTGGCCCTATGCAAACAGAAAAGCAAGGGTTTTACTTTGGAAGGAAAGGTTGATATTGTGTATAAAAGTCACAGGTTTTATATGCTAATGATGCCAGGTGTACCATCTCTGGCATTTTCCAGATAATTACTGCCAAGGTTTAGGTAGATAATATGGTACCAGCGGGCAACAATATGCCTACACACAATTCCCCTTGGCAGTCCTCCATCTGATTGTTAAAACTGGTTAATTAAAAAAAAGACATTCAAATTCCAAATGCAATCTACAGTATTAACTTTACTTACTAGTATGTTCCCAGACCCCATAATTTTACAATTTGGAAAATGGGGGGCTAAAAAGTAATGCTTTGTGTTGGAGGTGTGGTATCCTGCTCAGATGTTTTTAAAAGACAAATGAAAAATGGGGAAATCATCTTTACAACATATGACATAGAATCATAGAGCTGGAAGGGTCCAACCCCCCCACACACACACTCAAGGCAGGAAACCTTATACCAGTGCCCACCCCCGCCCCCAAATCTTTCTGGTTTTGCAAACCAGCATGAAGGATTGAGAGGGAATGGTCACGCATGACCATTTGCCTTTCACACAAACGGAGCTGCGCACATGTGTGCTTGCCCACTGCTCATGCAAGTTGAGCTGCACACGGGCACATACCCATCACTTTTGCGGACTGGTTCCGAATTGGCCAAGGCCCAGTGGTGGGCTGCAGTCCTGGGGTTGTGGACCCCTGTATTACATCATCCCAGTCAAATGGTTGCCCAGTCTATTTTTGGAAATCTCCAGCAATGGAGCATACCCAACTTCTGTAGGCAAACTATTCCACTGTTTAATTGTTCTCACTGTCAGAAAAATTCTCCTTACATCTAGGTTCATCTCTGTTTAAAAGCTTCCATCCATGACTTCTTGTCCTGCCTCTGATGCCTTGGAAAATAACTCAATCCCTTCTTTTCTATGCTCCTCAAGTAATGGAAGACATTATCATGTCCCTCCTAATTCTTCTCTTTAATATACCACACATACCTAGCTCCCTCAATTGTACATCAAACTATTTGTTAGAAACAAAATCAGCATTTAAATACTAGCAATTTTCTAATGAGGCTAGTGAGAACTGTTACATCAACAAATTCCAGTAGTACTCCTTAACCTTGAAGGGAGTTGCCAAATAGTTATTAACTTGGAAAAGTAGAAAATGTCTAGAATCCACATTATGGTACACATTGATATAACACCCAGTAGTCATTTTGTGAGACCATTCACAGTCATATGCTTTCAAAATGCTAAGTGTGCTCACTTACTTCAAAAAGATATAGAGCCATATAAATCAGTGAGCTCACACATTCATCTTGTTCAGATAATGCTTAACCATAGTTTGTTTACTAAATTACAAAGGTTGGGTTTGCACAACATGCAAAGATACAATAAAAATAACATTGTGGCTTAGCATGGTGTGTGAATTCAGTCATGGTCTCAGACTTAAAGAAAGGCAAGAGTAACTGATAAAAGATCATTTTGAGCTTCTGTTGGATTGTCATTTTGGTAGGATTATGATTACACACCTATGGTTAAATTGTTTGTTTTTATAGTCCAGTACTTAATTTAATTCTACTTAATTTATTCAATTTAGGCACCACCTGACTCCAAACTGAAAATGGATAATGAAGCCAACAGAATATGGAGTAGAATACAATAATTATAAAAGAAATAAAAAGGAAATAAATCACTCTCAAAGATCTCATAGGAACCCCAGCCATCCTAGCCTGTAAACCTGGGAAAATAGCCATGTCTTTAAGTCTTTCTGGGATGCCATCAGGGTGGGAGTCTCATCGGCATGAGGCATTTCAGAGGGCAAACATTGTGACTGAGAAGGGGTGTTTCCCAGGTCCCTAGAGATTATATTATTTAATTGGAGTGATCCAGAACATGCCTACCTGAGATCAGCTGGCCAGGCTGATCCGATGGGAGAAGTATGATCTTCCTTTATTGGAAGTAGCTTCCTCGTTGGGTTTTGTTTTTTTCAAATTCATATTTTAAAAGTAAAGATGCTTAACTCACTTCTGTTGTTTAAATTTTCCTTTACATTTCATTTTCTAAAACAAATCGAAACGCTAAGCAGCAAGAAGAGAATATTTAATCAGTTCCTACTTTAAAAGATGGACTTTTTAGCCACTCTGCATGCATCCAACAGCAAAATTTAACAAGCTCTGATCTGAGAGAAAAATGGCACTATGCTAGATTATTTTAATGAGAGTATTTCTCCTTGCACCTGCCCATTTTCTATGCCAATGGAACACATCAGGGGCTGAGCTATTTCTCCCTCAATTTGCACATTATGTTTTTTTCCATCATCAAGAAGTAAATGTCATGCTTTGATAGTATTATCTAAGATCAATAGCTGTTTTCTTCCTTCTTGATTAAATATGACA